ATGTGGCAGAGTCTTTGCCCTAAAAGAGAAGGCAACAAGCTTGTTTTCTGCATCCATAATCAATACTAAAAATGGTACAATGACCAGCGTGATAAACAAGACATTTGTCCCATTTTTTCTTGCCAAATTTCTTCCCAGAAGGAGAATACAAGCTTATTTGTGGACTGCCATAATAGAAGACGTGCATCACTCTGGAAGCATCACATTATTTTATGCACGTTGGCCAGAGCTAGGAGTTTGACAGAAAGAAAGTACTTGAATGGCTCTGCACTGACCACAGGGTATCAGCCCCATCATTTACTTCTGTAGCAGCTACTTGCAGTAGCCTAAGTGTCCACAGCAGAGCTAGACTACGGGTGGCAAGCCAAGACCCACGCTTACTAACAGAGCAGCCAGTCTTGGCAGTGGACAGAACAACCACAGGCAGTATCTGGAAGAAGAAAATTTCCTTTGCAATTGGATCAGGCAAAAAGAATGAAAAGACACAAGATTTATCCCTGAGTCACTCAATGTGACCAACCTGGAAGGAGGCAAGTGAAGGACACACCACCAACAGGAGCACTTTGGGGCAAGACAGACTGCACCACTTTGAAACAGTTAATGTGTTATCATTGAGCCAGAAAAGAAGCAAGCAGTCTCCCCAGAAAAATTACACAGAAGTGCAGGCATCCAACTAAGTTTTCCTGTATAAAGTAGAAGAATGGTCAACCACGGTCTTCAGGGGCTGACCATAAGAGTAACAGCCAGTCTCCTAACTCTACTTTCAAAAACATGTAGACTTTTTTCCTCCCTGCTGTATCATACCACACAAATATACTGCTCTTAGTTCAAGGCCAAAACCAACCTTGGAGCTGGGACACCTTTGGATAGAAGGAAAGAAAGTTTAAGGACTCAGAACTGCAGCCTGTTTCCTCACAGAAAAAAACTTTAAATATCTGCAAGGGTTTTCAAACTTCTAAGACTCCAGTTACAGTGAGAATGAGACAAAGCTGTTTCCAAAATAGCTTTGTCATCAGAAAAGCAGTAAAACTTAATCCAAAATAATCCTTGACTATTTCTTAGCATTGAAAATATTATGGGGCATGTTACCAACAAATAAAAACTATGAAACAGAACACAGAATCGGGAAAATAAGTCTGTGGTTTCAAGTTTACTTTTTTCTGATTTGTTTTAGAAGTCTCCCTTCTCAAGATGAGTTATTTTTCAATACTTCCCAGCCTTTAATTCATTACTGTTCACCACAGGCCCCAAACTGGGGGAGGAGAAGAGGTGGGTAACAAATACACAAACCCGAAAACACATATGAATCAAATCCAAAGGCCTCTCCCCATCATTTTATCCAAAAGTGTCCAGAGGGACCAGATGAGAGATGAAGATATTACCACCTCTGGAATACAAGTAGCACCAATTAACACATTTTGACAATAGAGGGATTTTCTTACCAGGGCTTCCTCAAATTACTCTTTCTGAACAATACCATTCAAATGTTAAGTTGCAGTGAATAGAACATGCAAAACTACCCAGAGAAGAGGAAAAAAATTCTTATTATACTGATGCCTTTTTTCTTTTTTTTTTTTTTTAATCAGGCCTAGAGCATTACCCTTATTTTTTTCATTCCACGATCATCATGGATCTGCCCCTACTGCTATTTCAAGTTTAGCGATACATAAGCAATAATCATGGTAAGATATAATTTGTCCTTTTTATATTGCTTTTAGGTCCAAATTAGTTAACAGACACTCACTGGGCAAGAACCTCTTTCTTTATTTGTTACCCACCACACTACGAGGTGATGTCGTTGCTGGTAAGCAGGCTTCTAGCTGTAAAGCACATGCTCATGTCACCGCATGTTCTAGTTCCCAGATTAAAATAAGCCATAATAGGTCTCCGTAAAAGACCAAGTAAAGAAGGCAGGATTTCAGAGCACAAGATAGGATGAATGTGCAGGAATCAGGCATTCAACTATCCCAGGAAAAAGACTTTCCAGAAGAGGTGCAAGCAAGGTGGCAGAGCGTGCAGAAACAGATACCTAGGGCTGAAGAACCATCCCAATTAAACACAGATGCTCATTTGTGGAAAAAGAAAACATGTTATGCTAACAAAATGCTGTTCTTAGCCCTCAACACTTAGTGTTACTGCAACAGAAGGTAGCAGATCCATATCAACCCAGTCTGCTGAGCTGCAATCTTCCAGTACCCATTACATCTTGGTACTGAATAAACAAAGGCAAATATGTAACCAGTTTGCTTACAGAGTTTCACTTTTTTAATACATACTGTAACTGGTTATTTCTTCCCTGTCTCCCCAAATACCTTAGGGCTTCAGTTTACATTAATAATGGCTTGAAACAATTCCTTTCCTTTAATTATTGCAGTAGACAATGATAAAAAGAAGCTGAACAGAGTCAACTTTGCTCTAACATAGACATAAGAGATACAAACATTATACAAAAAACATTATCCAAGGAAAGTTGAAGTCTTAGTTAAAAAACTTAATGCAGTTAGCATCAGTGATTTCATTCAATACTGACAAAGGAGCATTCAAATTCAGGAATAACTTCTTCCATCATACCTGTCTACCAAGATATTAGGCTTTTTAAAAAAAAAAAAAAAAAAAGGTCACAGGAGCATTATACACAGATTTACTCCTCGCCATTGCACAGCCAGGAAGTTCTGACATTTAAGATTACTTGAGAGTAAAGCTGTCTGTATTTGCAATTTGAAATGAGAAAGTACATCCTGCCTATTTAAATTATTCTCAGACAGGTTGCCCAAAAAGATGATTTTAAAGATGCCCAAATGTGTATCTGCCTAAGGCCATATTGTACTTGCTTTCAGTTTCAAAGACCTCCTTTCATCTCTGAAGAATGGAATGTTGTTTACTGCTCAGGATGTTTTGCCGTGTTATCATGAATGTATTACAAATGTTCTGCTTCTTGAACTAGAGAGTGTTTGTCAAAACCATTCTTTATTCTACATGAGAAGTCTTAAGCCTTTTATAAATCCTGCTCAGATATATTGGGACACTTAAACGTCTAAGTCTAAACATCCTTCTCAAGTCTGCTATTCCACATAATTTCACAAAAAAAGAAAAAAGGTCCACAGAGAATTGCTTTCTGGTAGCATGAAACCTAAGTAACTAGGCACTGGAATGCAAGATTGCATGTGAGAAACAAAAGCAGTTTCACTGGCAGAATTACCTTCACCTACTGCCCTTATAACTCAGTCTAGTAAGGCAACCTATATGAGAAGCATCTTAGAATACAGCAGGTACATTTGTAACAATTAAACGCTACCAAAGTTTATGGTCAGTTTTAGGCACATTATGTCCACATTCTTTTAAACTGACAATGTAAATAATGGATCACCACCTTTCAAAAGCAACACTGTTATCTGTCTCACTTTGGCACAATCTCATGAAGCTTTTAATAAAGCAGACACACCGCAGACGATGAGAAATAACTGAAAAGCACCTAACAGGCAGACCTGTTAAATATTCAGAAACAAATCCGGCAATAATTACAGAAAACCACTACGAAGAACAGGAATAGTTACTCGATAGAAGCTTGGGAGAAGAAGAGAAAAGGATGGGGAAAACTGTTCTTGTGCTAGACTCATTTTTTCAAGTTTTTCCAGTGGTATTATGAAAAAAATAACTATACCTTCAGCTTCATGTGAAAGTGCATTAAAAAAAACTTCAAAGAAGTGAAGAATACCTGCTCAAAAGCTGGGAACGCTGCTTTTTGCAGCTTGTTTAGATACAGATTCCTTCATTTCACTATTTCACTTGCGGTAAAAGGAAGCATTCACGGAGCTAATTGTGAGTCCACGGCGGGCGGGGGGGGGACCACCAACCACCGTCAGAGAAACTAGTCTACCTCGCCTCCTTAGAGAGGTCTCTTGTCACACTCCAGGCTGAGGCAAAACCTACAGGACAGATGCCACCACTGTCTCAGTTACATTGCAAATAACTGAGCTTTATACAAGGTCCTCCAGACTCCAGTATACAAAAATGGCAGAGTATTTTCAATCCTAGCATCTATTTAAGCTTCCTAGGCCACAAGAATGAAAAAGACTTAAGGTTTATCAGAAAGGACAACTTCACCACCACTTCTTCCACACGAGAGTTACTTTCCAGGCTCCTGTTCCCTGTGCTTGGGTCACAAGCCATCCAAGCTGTTCACTTGAGGAACACTGAGGCTTCATGAGAAAGAGGGGCAAAACTGGCAACAACAGTTGAATGACAGCCCGCAACACATTTCTCCCATCTCCAGCCAAGATGATGATCTCTAACAGAAGTAGGCTGTCAGTCTCCTTGGAAAGAACTTCTGCAGCTCCATAAGCTTCCCAGCTCCCGGAAACAGTTAAGTCTCCAGCACAACATTAAGAGATTTGTTCAGACCAGGATTTGTTAAAAGCAGCTTCAAGGCACTTTTAAAACGCAGCACAAGCCAGAAAAGGTGATCTGGCTCATTGCAGAACTGAATGGTCTAGCTTTATTTATTTATTTATTTATCATTTTTCGGGGTGGAGGGAAGGGTCTAGCCAAGGTGAACTCACGGTATACTTGAAGAGTCCCTATGCATTGTGCATAGAAAAAAATCCACAGCCAAATGTCAAAGCAAGAGCCATTTCAAAAGCCATCCAAAACAGCCATCATGAGTTCAACTGAGGGGCCATGACAACTAGCTGCTGTGGAAGACCACCACAGCTTTGTTACCCTCCACTACAGATGGAAATTTCTCTGAGCCATCATTTCATTCAGTCCTTTACACACAGTGCTCTTACCCACAGTTCTTCCTACAACACACAACTAAACATCCCCATCAAATTTACCCAAAACAATCCCTTCAAGTATCTAACACACAGACTAGTTCTTACAGTATGTAACCAGCCATT